ACATACATACATACATACATACATACATACATACATACATACATACATACATACATTACATACATACATACATACATACATACATACATACATACATACATACATACATACATACATACATACATACATACATACATACATACATACATACATACATACATACATACATTAATTACATACATACATACATTACATTACATTACATCACCTCACATCACATCACATCACACTACACTACACCACACTACACTACATTACATTACATTACATTACATTACATTACATTACATTACATACGCATACATATTTAAATGCATACATACATACGAGAGAGGGAGATTGGGGAGAGAGAGGCTTGGAGGGATGGGGAGGATGGGGAGAGGACGACAGAACACACAAGGGAGACAAGGGAGAGAGGAAGAAGGAGAAAAGGGAGAGGACAATGTCGGGGCGGACTGAGCCGGAGGCTCTAAAGTAATAAGTGTCTTTCTTAAAACAAAAAAACGCCCAACAAAAACGAACGCGAGACGAAAAAACATAAGTGTATTTAAAAAAACAAAAACACATGAACCCCCACAAGGTGGGACCCTCTCAGGGACCAACGTCCCGGCCTATGGCCAAGGTCACAGGGGCCGGCACGGGAAATATGTTCGATCCATGAATTGTGTTGGGCTAAATTCAAAGACCAGCATCATTGCCATAAAGCCGATAAAGATTGGTGAATAGGAGTCTCTGGCAAGTCTAAGCCTAAACATGCGGAAGCTAAAACCATAACCTGGCAATAGCACTTTTCACCTCAAGTCTGCTTCAACTGCTACATTTGGCACCAAAGCAACACGGAGCTTTTGGAAAGCGCCTTATGCGCTCATACGTTTATTCGTGGAACCAATGGATTGGGGATTGTCAAAGATATAGTCCCGTTTTAGCCCTCGGTGCTGCAGCGTGCAGCAAAAGGGCCTCTAACTCCAACAACAAGATGCCGTCGCATTGGGTTGCAGGAAGCCACGCAATCATTTTTTGCCTCGTACCTCTAGGCCCGCGGCCCTTAAGACTACCACCTACTTTATATCACTTGGTAGGGTGCTAGAATTCCAATTTTGACCAAAACTCCTTGGGGTCTTGGCAATGGCTCCACAGACCACCAATATCTTGCAAACAGTGCTGTCCATCTCCCCACCTCGCTGGCGGCGAGAACTATACCATGTTTTTCTAACTGCCGTAGTTGCAGCGAAAGCACCCCCCAAAACCAATTTCCCGGCCCATATGGGTTTCTCTTTTTTTTAAGAGAACCCTTTTTGGTTGGTTTAAAAAGGAAAGCAAATAGAAACCAAACATTTAGGGGGGTCCGCGAAACAAACAACTGCTAACATTAAAACTTGGTGGGGTCGGCGCCATCAAGCTGTGCGAAAGCCTACCATGAAAGATGGTTGCTTTCGTCCCAGTGAACAGCAACAACTTCACATAAAGGAAATGTATCCCTCTGACTTCCCGAAAAGGGTGCCCTGCAAAAAATCACAACCTAACTTAGTCAACTAACTAGTTTAAGAGTTTTCGAACCATTTAAGCACCCAAGTTGCCAAGCGACACGATGGGCTAATCAATCGCCTTGGGTATCGAAGCCCCAAAGACCCCCCTTCTGGCCCCGTGTTTCCTAATATGTTTCTTCACGTTTCTTCAAACAAATATTCACGTTTCTTCAAAAAAGAACGCGAAGGACCCGTGAGATTCGCAGATCCAGATCCCACCACACTGCCTACCTCTCCGCTCCGCCCATGGCGGATCCGTTCGCGGATCTGCTGCGCCTCCAGGACTCGTTCACAATGTCGGAGACGCGCTTCAGCTAGTCATTCATCTTGACCCTAAGTCAATTGCCACAGGGGACATTTGTGTTTTTTAGGTTTAAAGAATGTTTGGGGAACCTCATTCTTGGGGAACCCCTTTGCAGGGAATCCCTTTTAGGAAACTTTTTCTTCAATTGGGCCCTTATTTTTGTGGAAATCGAAACACCCAAGTTCATTTTTGGGTCCCCTCATGTTGAGGCAACCCCATCTAGGTGGATCGGGAACCCCAAACTAGGGCCAAGCTTCACGACCGGCCCGAGTTACTCGTAGTGGCAACCATTGGAAATACAAGAAACACTTGTGTGGTGGCTGTTGCTCCTTTGTTTCGAATCCTGACCTATGGGTTGAGAGGTTCCTTCGTTGTGGGTGGGGTCCATTGCATTCCCATTCTGAAGCACAGTGATGTATTTCATGGGAGGGGCACCCCCAATGTCAGTTTGGAAGGTGAGCTTCGGCGCTTTTGCATGGATCCTCATGGCTTCCTGCGGATGTATTGGGCCAAGAACCCATGTTTTCCAGGCTATTGCCATAAGTGCAAAAGCGAAATGACGAAGAGTGCATTGCTTGGGACTCGGGCACCAGGCACACCAAGCAGATTCAAGCATTTTTTGCGAAGAGCTCATGAGCGAATAATGAAAGGCTGCTGCCACCCATACATCATTCATTTGAACAACACAGATACACTGTATTCCAGATTCCAACCCAACGTCAACACCGCCAAACGCCGCCCAATTTATTTCACTATGGAATTCGACAGGTTCCGAGGGCGGTAGCCAATTATGTGGTGAAGCTGACACGACGACGCGTAAGCGGCTCTCGTGCGCACAAAACCGCTTCCGCGGAGCGGCATCTCACTAGAATTTACGAAAATACATAATGCACCTACCCCCAAAAAATAGTGTATCTATGTTATAATTATATCTTTAAAATAAATTATATAGATTTACATTCATTTATCAATTGTGCTTTCTGTTTTGTTTCTTTTTTTCAATCACAAATAATAATAATAATAATAATAATAATAATAATAATAATAATAATAATAAAACAGATTTACAAATTTAGAATATAACTTATAAATTTCAATTTTATGTTTGTAATAGTAATTCAATATCAAAAAAATATTGTATTAATATAAAATATGAATCTCAATTAAATTCCTACTGTTCAATATATATATATATACTATATTAAGAGTATTTAAATATATCTTTTTAAAACCACAAATTCACAATTTATATCAATAATATACTAATACATAAATATATATATATATATATTATATTTAATATATTAAACTAATTTAACAATAATATGTTATGTCAAAACTACAATATCATATTATTAATTATATTATTAGCCATTCAATCCGAAATAAGTATAATCATCTTCATATGATTCTTTTCATATCCATTTAACACTAAAATCAAACTTTAAAATTATAATACCATGATATAATTATTCACCTCTCCTCCAAAAGATGTAACAATAATTCATGCAATATTGCTATCCTTTCGAATAACAAATTTGAAATTGCATTTTGTTTAAAATATATATCATATTTTATATAATTAAATTAAATACCGAATGTTAATTAAATTGGAATTATCGTAGGCCCAATAGGAATTGAATTTGGATTTATGTGAAATCTGCTGAGGAAGAAAACAAGTTGCTTCTTTTAACTTGTACGCGCCATAAGCGCAAACAAGTAAGAACCATGGAACATGCAAGTTCCGTTCCTTTTTGTCTACGCATTTCGCAACGGGCTGGCGAGAGACATTTTCCCTCTCCCAACCCCTCCAGCTCCCGTATATGTACAACCTGGCCCCCCATATGGCGATTTTGTTTCAGGTGTCTCTTCTCAACAGAAAATGACACTTGAGCACATCCAGCTGCAGCCCTGAAACGGCGCTACTGGATGCAGCCCTGTCACGCAGCCAGAACGCAAAGCCAGTCCCACCACGAAACGCCCTGGCAGCTGGTAAAGGATCAAGCCAACCAGCCTTACGGAGTTCCGGGATGTCACAATGGCGCAGTATCACAGTTTTGCATGGCATTCAACAAAAGCACGCGGCATCAAAACAATAAAGCTGTAAAACCAGACACAGTATATCTGTGAGCACATGTTGATGTGATCGTTTGCTTGTAGGATCATTTCGAGCTGTGCTGTTGGTATGAGTCTAGTTAGTTGGTGAGACTCCGGGCCTCAAAGTGCATTACAATTCCTCCCCGAGGTCAAAACACAGAGCTCAACACATAAGCGAAGATATACACCATGAGACATGCTGATTCGAATCCAGAACTTAGAAACCGGCAAACTCCGAGGCGGTCAAAACCTCTAGGACATGATTAGAACTGTAGAACTATTGGAACAACATGGCTCTAGGAACAGCTGGTTCGTGTCGTAGACTCATACGAATGCAACGCCTTGATGTATTACGACACATTTTCAGGGGTTCTCAGAGGCATCACTTTAAAAACACCATGCCCTGAAGCATCACTATTCCCTGTGGACATAGTGGTAATCACACGCAGGCTCACAATCAGAAAGCATGATTCCAACATTCATAGTCCATCTAATTTGAATGCCTAAAGCAACACAAAACAGAATCATGCGAGCCATCGCTTCTGCGGAATTGGAATGCATACCAAAACGTGCATGGGGGGCGCTGCAAGGAAGTGCCGCAGTTGGAACAGTAGGAGCCAACAGACTATCTGGAGCATGAACAAGTACATTGGCATCCACCCAAATCCTACCTCTTGTGGGGATTGGTCAAACAATTGGTGCTGATCCCAGTATCCTTTCAAAGTAAGTGCGGCATGGTGGGAATTGGAACATTATATGTTTGACCCCGGTTCAAAAGAGAGGCACCACAGAAAATTCCCGGAACTATTTTGTTCCCCGAAGTTGACAATTCTCCCAATTCGCAATGTCCGAGTTGGTTGGCGCATCATGGGTCTCCCGTAGCCGGCTTATTATAAACATAACGCTGCTTCTCGCTTCTATCTTTGTTCAAACGCAATGCTGAAGAGTGGCGCCTCGCAGGGTGGCCAAATTAACTTTGCTCTCATTGTCTGAATGGGAAATAGAACCTTATCCCAGATGCTTGGAGGGGGCTGCCTAGGGGCTTCCTGAGTCATTGTCCTCCTACTTGGACATTGTGAAGCGGCAAATGAGTGATGTTTCGGGCTTGCCTCCTCGGGGACGTCGCACAAGAACTCCTGGAAGACAAGTACGAAGGCTGAGTGATCCAGCGGGCGGCGTGCCACCGTTAGCGACAAGACACTGTTCAAGGTAGGATGAGAAGGAGGGGTGTGCAAAACATCAACAACCCCTCTTCAAGAGGGAAACCGTGTGAAACCCGCCTGTTCCATGTGCGGACAAAGCACCTGGACCTGAATGGAACACGCTTGCTAGTGATGCCAGTCAGTGGAAAACTGGCAGGAACCCACGATGTGCAAAACGAAAACCCGCAGTCCTTGAATTCCTTGTGCCGCGTGTCTGTCACCTGCTGAGCTGAGAATTGCCCCCAAGCCAACTTGCTCCGGCCGGTGTCTCCAATCAGAGGGGTTTGGGGGACTCAGGCTTTGTTTAGGCCACACCTTGTGCGTGTGGGCACCTTTAGGGTAGCGCTGTAGTATTGGGCAAACGCGTTGCAAAAATTACATACACGACATACGTGAGATACGTGCCATGCGTGACACACTTACATACGTACATTACATGACATTACATGACATTACATTACATGACATCACATCACATCACATCACATTACATCACAATACATACAGACTCTACACACATACATACACACAATCATACATTACCTTACGCACATACTTACCACATAACATTGCATTTCGCTAAACTGCGTCACACACGCACACACTGCATTTGCACTACATTGCGTTGCATTCCCCATACACACACCTACACACACATATACATTTTTGCCGGGAGGCGGGGCAATATGAGATTGTACCTGTATGCGGCGAACAGGATACCGATCGCCTCTCCAAAAAAGGGTTGGATCAACACCGCTAGCACAAAAGCCACTGGGCATTCAACCGGGCGTGTGTAAGGGGTTTGCCTTGCACCGCGTGTCAGCAGCACTTGTGATATATCAACGACTCTGTGAAACCGCCCGATAGCAAATCAGACATATCCAATGACGGGCACAACTGCCCTGCGCACAAACCACTCACATCATCATGGAAAGAAAACATCGCAAGGGATTTGTCCACTGCTATCCCGCAGAGCGAATTCTTGAAATCCAGAAGTCCAGTCGCATACAGACGTTTCAGGCTTAGGTCAGATCAGTTGAAACGCTTCGGGGAAGAAGATCGACGCTTACGTGAGGATCCTTGGATCCTTGCTACAGTCAAGAATCAAGCCAACCCACGAGCACAGCTTCAAGACGACATACACCTCATCCTCAACGCTCAACGCACACGGTAACTCTCGGATCGCTGACCAAGAATCCCAAGAGGAGAAGTCAAGGACATCCCCGTGAAGAAACGCCCCAGAATTGATGACCCGCAACAGTGCGCATATCCTGTGTATCAAACGACTCATTCTTCTTCGATGATCCAGCTGTCCATGACAAGACAAAGGACCTTTTCAAGACCTTCATCCATGATTCATCCGTGCAGGATACTTCACACGCTTTGTCCATGGAAACCATGTATCCAGAATCGAGCTATTTGCACGTCACACATCCGAGAGATCCAAACACTGGGGGACAACATTCGGTGTGTTCAGATGTTCGACAAGACACAGCTGCCGAACCGCACCACTGATCATGTGGATCGAACCGTGAGATCATCACAACCACAATCGACAAACGAGCTCAAGGGCGAGATCCAAAAATGTCGGGAGTATCCCATGGACCAATTTCATGAACACCATGCCATCGAGCTGGATTGCCATTCGCAAGCATTGGAGTATTATCCGTTGAGGAAGATTTGCAGAAACATGTACGACCATTCCTCATGGAATATCGGCGCGATGCAATCACTGGAGACGGGAACAAATCCGTCAACGCATCAAGCAAGTTCCAGCAGGTATTCCGACCAGATCATGGACTGTTCAACATTGCGGCGCAGTCCATGCAGGACCGTAGCAAACAGCAAGAACATCACCCTTCACACCAAGAAAGGATCGGATTTTGACAGGACCACGTTCGTTTCGGCTGGGCAAAGACGAAGGATCAGCAAGATTGCCACGCAGCATGTCCGAGGAAGACAAAGATCAGTTCGAAAATGACTGTGGATTCGCCATTGCCAATTACCAAGTATATCTGCAGAGCCAGGTGCATCCCATGCACGCTGCATGCATTTTGCCTGCCATTTGCTTGCATTATTTCTATGTGTTGTCATTGTTTGCACTTGTTTTTAGGGTTTGAGTCCCTTCCAAATCCATACGCCATGCGTTCGACACGCATACGCAAGGCACACAACTAGCACGCAGAACGCAACTTTGTGCGCGTTCTGTGTGTCCAGTATGTCGGCGCGTCTGCATTTTGTGTACATGTTGTATTGCATTCTGGGTATACAACATGCATGCAAACGGCGTCCAACATGCATGCATGTGCTTGTCTGTAACTATTTTGTATGCATTTGTGGCGCATCTGCCTTGTTGGCTCTGGCATCTGCTTTCAGTTTACGTGTTGCGTGCACTTCGGCTGCCTTCAAGTTGGATTTTCGCATTTTCGCGGGACGTGTGCATTTTGTGCACGGCGCACCCTTTTGTTTGCATGTTGTATGGGTATTGTATGCGGATGCCTTCCACACACATGCAACATGCGTACGAAATGCACGCACAGGCAAACAACACGCACGCTGAGTCTGGGCGCCGTTTGTATGCATCTGCGGCATGCAGTTTTCTGTGCCAACATGAATCCAAACTGCATACAAATCATACAAAGGGCATACAACAAGCATGCAACACGCATTGGTGAGTGCGTATGTATTTGCTGTGTGCCTTTGCGTGCTGTATGCATTTTGGGCATGCACCATGACAAGCCAAAATGCAAACCACATGCATACAAAAGGCATACAAAGTACATGCGCAGTGCACGAAAAGCACCTGTTTCAAACGCGTGTGCAGTGTCGTGGCAAAATATGCATTCTCTCAAGCTTGCTTTTTTGCAAGTTGGAAGGTAGCAACGCCACAGCCAAGCATGCATACGAGGTGTATGCAGACACGCATGCTGCGCCAGAGCCAAAAATGCAAACAAGATGCACGCAATCATGCAGCACGCATGTTGCATGCCTCTTGCATGTGTGTTGTACGCATGTGCGTCTGGAAGAAATCCAGGCCAATATGCCTACAAACTGTGTAAAAGGCATAGACAAATCCGTGCACCCAATACAAAGTAACCACGAAATCAAGTTTCAAAGTACGAAAGGCACACAAGAATGTAGCATGCCTTTTGCATGCATTCCGTACACATTTGGTATCCCTTGCTTTGCTCTCCCTTTGCTTTCCCTTCGCACCCATGCGCACATGAACACGCAAACTGTGCATTCATTTCTCGTGCCTTTGTATGCATTGTCAATACTTTCAAAACACCAGGATACGCATAACGTTGCAATCATCAAACGCAAACAAACCATGTAAAAAAGCGCGTCCGAGGGACCCCCCCCTGGCGAAACGCAGATGAAAAGCACGCAGGCATCAAAAACACTTGAAAAATACAAGGTTTTGGACACCCAGCACACCATGCCCAAAAAATGGCAGCCCCAAAAGCCTTCGGCTTTGATAAGAGATTCCGAAGAAAGACCAAGTTGCGGACTGCCATCTACACGCTCGACTGGCCGCGGATTTCTTGGAAGTCTATTTTTGGGGTGTTTGAGGGGGTTGCTAGTATCTGCTTTTGATGGTTGATTTTGGGGAATATCAAAAAACCCTGCTTTTTTGCACTTTTTTGTGGCCAGCCGGCTGCATTCCCAGCATTCCCGACCTTGAAATTGTACGTTGTGTGGCTGTATCCCTTGCATGTCCAGCATCCCCAGCATCACTTCCAGGAAAAAAAGACAAAGGTCTTAAAATCCCGTGCAACCCACCGGCGTCGGCGGATCGCGTAGCGATTTCAATAACAAACAAAACAACACTTGCGCACAAACGCAGCATGCATGTTGCACGCCTGACCTGCCTATGCGCAGGACATGCAAACAAAATGCAGTTTGAAGGCATACCAAGCGCATGCAAACCCTTCACCACCTTCGGTAAGTTATACTGGCCGCCATGTTCGGAGAACCAAAACCAATGCGCACTTTGGGGATCAGCTCCTAGTCAGAACACAGGAGCAACAAGATCAACAGCGCCTTCTTTGGAGTATCATGTTTGTCTTTGACCCATGACTCCCTCTGCCAGCTTCGCGCACGCGCCGGCGCCTTGACGTCCTCTGCCTGCATAGGCACCACCTGACACGAAGTACTCAGGTCAGGGTCTGTCCCCCTTCACCAAGGGCTTGCATTCGAAGAAGTGGACAAACCCGGGTCTTTCCTTTGCAGGAGTGGACAATCTACGATTTGGATCCAACAGCATCTTTACAGGCTCGCGGAAAAACAAAGGACGTTTCAGGGTTGCTTTCTTTGAAAGAAAGCCATAAGGCATGTTCAAGTATCACCAGGTGATTGAGGGCCTCTAAATGGGTCCAGGGTCTTCTTGAAACCAAAAGCGCTGTGCCCTGGCGAAGTTTTCTCCCGCCAATTTTCCGGCAGAAAACAAAGTCCAACGTCGCCTGAGGGGGCTTCCTCTGGAGCCACGACCCCACAGACCTCAGCCAGGACTCGTGAATCGCGCGTGAATCGCGTGGGAGAACTGAAGTGACACGGGTGTCTCTGTTTGAGGACACCTCTTTTGTTCAGAAACCAAACAGAAACCAAAAAGAACACCACAACTTGCGACCGAAAGACACGCCCTATACAAATCTGTTTGGGCCTGGAGGCCTAGCCAAGGCGAACGACGAAAACCGGCACAAAGTCAAGAGGCAAGCTATATACTATAGATCCAAGTGGACACGTCTCAAGCGCCCAGCGGGGTGAACTTGAACGCCGGCTTCTCCGGCATCTGGAATGAGGATGGGACAGTGGCTAGTGGCTGTACATTCCACTAAACCCCTGAACAGTTGGGGTAGCAAGATCTCCACTAGAAAGAGCTTGTTTATATAGCAGTTTTCCCAAGATAGGTTCCCTTCAACAACTGACCTGCCATGCAACAAGAAGTCCACAAATGTTGCGGTTGCCAAAACCACTCTCCCGAGAAGCATCAAGTCAAAATACCGGGCAGTGCGATAGGAGCCAGAAATAATTGGTGCCCGTTCGGTATCCATTCATCCTTTGCAGCAGCCCCCAATTCCAGCAACAACAGCACCAACCTCCCCGCTCGGCGTGTAACCTCAAACTATCCTGAAAAGGCTGCATGTGCGCTTTGGGCACTGATGGGCGCGACAGAAAACAGAGAACTGTAAATAGACATGGATGTGGCTCAAACATAGGAATCGGCCCGACTTGGAACGCTGAAAAATGAAACAGTAGACTAAAACCTTGTCCCACTGGCTCTTAAATTTTGAGCCACGCCCATATGCCAAGGTGAAAGGTTAACTAAACAGATGCTCGCCTTTGCTTACGAACGATGGTCTGACATTCGCGGCGGGACGACTGGTACATGGTTCGATGCCTGGATGTACAGGAGCAAATGGCCGATTGGCCGACTGAGTGATTGGGTACCAGCACTCCCCTTGCCCAGCCGTTCGGTCGCTGTGTTTTGCCGCTGGGTGTCATGTTCTCTGCTGTGGAAGTGGCATGCTAGGCGCCAACGTTGCGCGAACTCAAAAGCACATGAAAGCATCAAAATTGGACCCACCAGAGGGCGCAGTGAGTTGATCAGTTTCAAAACCGAGGTGCGTGATTCAGGCGAGTTGAGCTTCTCCCGGACACTCAAACAGCAGCGACCGCCAACTTTCGGCGATGATTATAGCTCTCACGGCAAGCGCCCCAGTGACTCCTTGCCTGAATCCGTAGTTCTTCCACCTTGCTGTCCTGACCCGGGTTGCACAGCGACGGGAGGAATTGGAACGCGCTTGGCAGCTGTTAAGCGCTAGATATGTCTGCTAATATAAACCTGGGTTGCCACTTTGGGGCAGTTTCCAAGCGTAATCCCAGGGTTCAATTGAGAGCACGGTCAGAACTTGCAACTCTGTGCTGGAAATAAGCGCACACATGCGCGAGCAAATGGACAGCGGCAAGGCTTTTCACGAAAGGCCTGGCACTCCACTTCTTTGCCCATCAAGTGGATGAGATGCACTCATCATTTCCCTCTAAGTCATATAGCCATAAGTCCCGCGCAGACAGGTTTGCCAACTGACCTGGCAAACAAAGAAAAAAGGGAGCCCTGAATGGTAAGGACCATGAAGAACTGTTGCTGCTGGGGGGAGCTCCCTCAGAACGTACCTTAAATAGGCACCCTCTTTGAGGACAAACGGGCACATGATGGTGTCTAACTGCAGGCGAATCGCTTGATGCTGATTCTGGAAAAATGGCGCCAAACCTATATCTTGAATGGCTTCCTCCACTGCCAATCCACAGGCGCCATCTTTCACAAGCGCTCCCATCGTTTGATCGTTTGCCTGTGCCCACTTCTTCTGAGCCTTGATGTTGTTGCGATTGGATTCCCCATCCCCCTACGTAGAAATGCTTGTAGCTGCCAACCATCGGCTTCCGATCTGGCATGGTGCGCTTGGGATACCAAATGGATGTCTAACTTTCTGTGAGGATACCCCTTTTGTGTGGTTTTACCGGGAAACCAAAGGAAACCAAACATTTTAGGGGTTCCCCTATTTGAGACAAACCCATATCCCTCGCGATGTCTAGCGAATCATTGCCGCCTTTGGACTCAGAATGAAAATTAAGCACGTGCACTCCTGCATCTAGTAAACAACAGGGAAACACACAAACATACAGGGAACCCAGGTTTTGGAAAGTTTCGGTGAGTTGTGCCTAGAGCAAACATACTTTCGAAGCTGGTATCTGAATTCCTGTTCTCGCTCCGTGGCGACATTCGGCAAAACTCAGTCGATTTGGCGTAACTTTCAGCATTTTGCTGGGGACGGCACGTAAAATCGGTCAAGATCGGTCACATTCATCCCAACAGCGTTGGCCCCGCTTCTGACACCCATCCCAACATCCTGACAGCATGACAGCGCCCAGTCATTGGTCAGCCAGTCCGTCCGTCTGTCCAGTTGGTTTTGTCGTGGGCAAGCTGGCTAGTTCGCCATTTCATGAAACTCAGAAACCAAAGCCCTGCAAAAACGTAGGTCCGACTTTTTGAGGAAAATCCGCGGTTTTTGCGGGAACCCGGTTTACCAATTTACAACTTAACCACAAGGGACAATGGGGCATCATCGCCCCGTGATTCTTGAAGAGGAAGACAACAAGTACAACGCAAGCACACACGCACATTACTGTAGCAAGTGAATCCTGCATGTCGCTCATTTAACCACTGCAATGGCATTCACAACATTCCATAAATGGCTCTCGGATTCTGCCCAGAACGTGGCCTTTGCGGCCTTTGGCTTTCCCTCTGATAAATCCGCTACGTGCAGAAGAGATGCTTTGCATGTTTTTTGCGACCAGGATGTCTAAATGATTAGGGGCAATGGTTCTACTTTCTAAGCCAGAAAGGGAAAGTGCGGCAACCCGGCAACCCGCTCAAATCAAAAAGCCACCATCTTTGAAGAGGTGACCCACTTCTGCAACCAAACCTCTTTGGCATATCGTTGGTCCCTGTCAGAGGGCAGGCCGGGCTCGCGAGATTGGGCCCCGTAAAATCTGGTTTCCGTTCGTTCGAGCAAGGTGTGTTCAACCAAAACCACACGCATGCCCCGGGTCCAGCCTGGCAGCCTCCCAGCTCGTGTGAGGGGCCTGGCCACAAAGCCAAGAAGCGAACCGATCATAGAACGCAGGGGGTCCTTGCTCACATGTAAACACCCGCTTGTCCCCTTGACCCCGCTTGTGAACATGAACCACACTTTGTCCATCGAGTTTGAACATGCTTAAACGACCTGGTTTAAACTTGTTCAGACGTGCCCCGTGCATCTCTCATGTCTCCTCGGACCTTGCTAGCGCCGCTGTCGTGGGAACGTTTCGACCTTGTTTACACACGTTGCAACACTCCGTTCAAATCTCTCGGACCTTCGCAAGAGGAAATAGGTGGGAAACAGTTGATTGTTCGAAGTCGCTTAAACGTGCCCTACACCCCTCTCTTCGGACCTTGCAAGGGGAGGTGAGCTCCGACCAGCACCAGTGTGTTGGGCCCTTGGAGAAAACAAGGCTTCTCAGGCGTTAGTTTTATCCACGCAACGCTCCCGCCACTCTGCGGCATTGACAAGGCTCACCTACACAACACAAGGCTGCATGTGTAGACAAACCAGTTTGAAGCCCTGTTCCAACGGACAAAGGGCAAGTTGCGTTTTGCTTCATGGCCATGTTGACGTACCCCAAACAGTGTGGCCTTTCATGAATTTCAAGCGTGGGCCCGAAACGGTCGAAAATACAAGTTTTGAGGCGGTTCCTACTCTTGAAATTCACAGCCACAAAGTGGCTCGTAAGTGGGGGTCCTGGGTATTTGAAAACTCCATTCAGCGGTGACCCTTTTTGATGATGATGAGACGTGGACATGGGCGGGGAGGCCAGACCAACCCGTGTAGCATTTGTTTTTTTATCACCCAGTGACCCCGGCCTCCCGGGCTCTCTAGCTGGACGACAGTTGAGGTGGAAGAGGCCTGCGCTGGATCAACGGTTGCTAATTGGGGGTCTGTCTACAGGTCTGTCGCTCCGTGTCCTTCAAGATCAAAAGGGAAAAACCACCGTGGTCCAAGACCACTGCAGTTGTGACTATATGCGTTGGGAGCCTGGGAGCCACTCTCCTGTTCATGCGCCACCTTATGTTACTCCCCTGAAACCTCTGTGCTACAGAGATGCCCCAACCCACTAAGACTTGCTGGTTTGGAGGTGTAATCTGAAAGTGGCACTTACCGATTCAAAGTGAACTTCAATTGTACTTCCGATGAGTCTACCTCCGATGAGTCAGAAGCAGCGTGCGTTCTCTTTGTCTCAGAGCAGAAACAGGCTTGATGTTCCAACCTTTGTCAGGCTCCCCCCAAAAAGAAACCTGATAGAAGCCACGAACCCGAATGCAGACACGAAAGCGGACTCTTGTCACATCTCGCGTCGCAACTCTAGTCTCACGTCTCTGGTCACTTCTCTAGTCACGCCTTTGGTCACGTCATTTGTCACGTCTCTCGTAGCAACTCTGGCCACGTCTCTCGTCATGACTTTTGTCAAACCTTTCATCATGTCTCGCCGCGCCTCTCGTCACGACTCTGTCACATCTCCCATCACGTCTTTCTTGGCGACTCCCGTCATGTCTCTTGTCATGTGATTCGTCACCCCTCGAGTCGCGTCTCTGGCCTTTTATCACGTGTCTCGCGGCGCCTGTCGTCACGACTCCGTCGCGTTTCCCGCCGCGTCTTTCTTGGCGACTCTCGTCGAGTCGTCGGCCCTCGCGCCACGTCTCTTGTCACATCTCTTGTCACGTCTCTGGTCCAATCTCGTCACGTCTCGCCACATGTATCGCCACGTAGAGTATATGGCTATTCCTCCTTTTGTGTATAGTCACGTCTCTGGCAGCGTCTCAAGTCACGTCTCTGGTCATGCCCCTTGTCAGCTTTCTTGTAACAGCGTCTCTTGTCATCTTTGACAAAAGACGTTTGAGAAGAGACGTGGCGAGGGTCGTGACAAGAGGCGTGACCAGAAACGTGACGCGAGAGGCGACGACGCACGCGACAGGATCTCCAAGAAAGACGCGACGGGAGACGCTACGTAGTCGTGACGAGAGGTGTGTCGAGACACGTGATGAAAGTCATGACGAGAGACGTGGCCAGAGTTGTTGCGACAGACGTCATGAAAGGACGTGACCACAGAAGTGTCTAGAGGCGTGACGATGGATGTGATGGGTGTGACAAGAGACATGCGAGGAGAGTCGCGACAAGACGCGAGATAAGGCGTGACCAGAGACGTGATGCGAGATGCGACAAGAGATGTGACAAGGATCGTGACGCGAGCGAGAGATTGCCAGAGACAGAACGGCAAATATGACAAGAGACGTGTGAGAAGAGACGTGGCGAGGGTCGTGACATCTTGCAAGAGACGTGACCAGAGACGTGACGCGAGGGAGGAGACGTCTCCAAGACGTGATGGGAGACGCTACGTAGTCGCGACGAGAGGCGCCTTGAGACACGTGATGCAAGATGCGATGATGATGAAAGAGGTGACGATTGTCATGATGAGAGACGTGGCCAGAGTTGTTACAAGAGATCTGACGTGACCAAAGACGTGACTATAAGAGACGTGACCAAGGAAAAACAAGAGACGTGACAAGAGACGCTTCTACGAGAAAGCTGTGACAAGGGGCATGACCAGAGACGTGACTTGAGACGCAGAGACGTGACTATACACAAAAAAAGGAATAGCCAGTACTCTACGTGGCGATAAATGTCATAAGAGACGTGTGAGGAGAGACGTGACGAGATTGAACCAGAGACGTGACGAGAGATGTGACAAGAGACATGACGCGAGGGCCGAAGACTTGTGCGTGACAAGAGGCGCGACGAGAGTCGCCAAGAAAGACGCGGAGGGAAACGCAACGGAGTCGTGACGACAGGCGCGGCGAGACACGTGATAAAAGGCCAGAGACGCCACTCGAGGGGTGACGACTCACATGACAAGAGACATGACGGGAGTCGCCAGATAGGTGACCAGAGACGTGACTATAGAACTATAGAAACAAGAGTCCGCTCTCGTGTCACGTCTCTGGTGGCGTTTCAAGTCACGTCTCTGGTCATGCCCCTTGTCAGCTTTCTCGTAACAGCGTCTCTTGTCACGTCTCTCTTTTTTCCTTGGTCACGTCCCTTAGTCACGTCTTTGGTCACGGCCTTTGTCGCGTCTTAGCTAAGAACGTATCTTGTCACATCTATCGTCACGTAGCTAGTCACGCTATTGGTCACGTCCCTTGACAGGTCTCTTGCAACAACTTGATCTGGCCACGTCTCGCGTCATGACTTTCATCACATCTTTCATCATCACATCTTTCATCATCACATCTTCCATCACGTGTCTCGACGCGCCTCTCGTCGCGACTACGTAGCATCTCCCGTCACTTCTTTCTTGGAGACGTCTCCTGTCACGTGCGTCGTCGCCCCTCGCGTCACGTCTCTGGTCACGTCTTTGGTCACGACCCTTGCCACGTCTCTTCTCACACGTCTCTTGTCATATTTGCCATCCCGTCACTGGTAACCCCTCGCGTCACGTCTCTGGTCACGTCTCTTGTCACGACCCTTGCCGCGTCTCTTCTGAAACGTCTCTTGTCGTATTTGCCGCCCCGTCTCTGGCAACCTCTCGCGCCACGATCCTCGTCGCGTCTCTTGTTGCATCTCTTGTCACGTCCCTCGTCACGGCTCTCCTCTTGATCCACCTCTGGTCCCGTCTCTTGTCACGTCTTTGGTCACGTCCTTTGTCACGTCTATCGTAACAACTCTCGTCCCGTCTCTCGTCATCACTTTCAACACATCTCTCATCATGTGTCTCGACGCGTTTCATGAGACGAGTCCGTCACATCTCCCGTCCTGTCTTTCGTGGTCTTTCTCATGTCTCCAGCCACGCCGAGTATCGGGCTATTCCTCTTTTCTTATAGTCACGTCTCAGGTGACGTCTCTGGTCATGCCCATTGTCAGGTTTCTCGTAACAGCGTCTCTTGTCACGTCTCTCTTTTTTCTTCTCTTAGTCAGGTCTTTGGTCACGTCCTTTGTCGCGTCTCACGTAAGAACGTTTCTTGTCACATCTATCGTCACGTAGCTAGTCACGCTTTTGGTCACGTCCTTGACAGGTCTCTTGCAACAACTCGATCTGGCGTCTCGCGTCATGACTTTCATCACATCTGTCATCATCACATCTTCCATCACGTGTCTCGACGCGCCTCTCGTCGCGACTACGTAGCATCTCCCGTCACGTCTTTCTTGGAGACGTCTCCTGTCACGTCGTCGCCCCTCACGTCACGTCTCTGGTCACGTCTCTGGTCACGACCCTCGCCACGTCTCTTCTCACACGTCTCTTGTCATATTTGCCGTCCCGTCACTGGTAACCTCTCGCGTCACGATCCTCGTCACGTCTCTTGTCGTTCACGTCTCTGGTCACGGCTTATCTCGCGTCTCGTCAAAACTCTCCTCGCACGTCTCTTGTCACATCCATCACATGCATCGTCACGCCTCTGGTCACGTCTTTGGTCACGTCCTTTGTTACGTCTGGCGTAACAACTCTGGCCACATGACTTTCATCTTGTCTTACATCACGTGTCTCTACGCGCCTCTCGTCACGACTACGTAGCATCTCCCGTCGCGTCTTTCTTGATCCTGTCGCGTGCGTCGTCACCCCTCGCGTCACGTCTCTGGTCCTCGCCACGTCTCTTCTCAAACGTGTCTTGTCATATTTGCCGTCCCGTCTCTGGTAACCTCTCGCGCCACGATCCTCGTCACGGGTCTTGTCGCATCTCTCGTCACGTCTTCTCGTCACAGCTCTCCTCTTCTCACATTCATCGTCGCCTGTCTGGTCACGTCTGTTGTCACGTCTTTGGTCACGTCCTTTGTCGACAACTGACAACGACAACTGACAACTGACAACGACAACTGACAACGACATCGACCACATAAACAAGAACAACCATAATAGGAAAATGAACCAGCCCCAGGTGATTTCCTGGGGAAGCAACAGCTACTGATGCTCTGATTGTAAATGTTTGCATCCGCTGGAAATTGAAGCATTCGAAACAATTTGAACAGGCTTCCCTGGCCATTCCAAAAAAACAAAGCATACACACACAAGGTCAAAGGCTCAATCTATGAACCCATGTGCAAACACTTTGTCCCTTTGTTTTGGACGGGCCCCTTCAACATCAGTCAACAAGAAAGGGTAAGCCTTGCCTGACGCCCTCCGGGCAAAGCTGGGAATACGAACCCCATGTTTGAACCGTTTCTCGGGCAGCGCCGAGTTTTGGTTCGCTCAAATGAGCCTTCTTGAGAACACGTGTAATTGAACATGTATCTTTGTATAATGCCAATAAATAATAGACGCTTACAAGGTTCGACTTGGTTGAATGATAGATACACCATAAACAAATTATAATAATGCATAGTCTGAACAATCATACTGTTAATTACTATGGTTTAAACACATATTTGATATTATTCTGTATCGACAACATGTAAACTGTAAGCGAATCATTTTGCAATAAGCATGACTTAAAGCTTGTCTCCAAATGGGGAGCCCTTAAAATGAGTTGTTCCCTTTCAACCGAATTGACGCTCCAAAAAGGTGAGCAAAAAGACCAAACAAAACCCAACCAAATAAGACTAATTAACCACTCCAAAGGGGCGACCCCCCACAAATTTATGTGGAAAAGCGGGCTTCCTTGCAGAATGGACGGTTTCGGGGGCTCATCAAAGGGTGACCCTCCGGGTTTCCTTCCCTTGCCATGAGGGCTCCCTCAGTTTGGAACTCGTAGCGACTCGCAGCCCATTGCGGGAGCCAAGCAAACAAACACAGACTCGCAGTCGCCTTGGGCCGTCGCATCTGTGGGCTCCGGGCCTCTGCCTCGGACTTGAGGTCGTTCTGATCCGCCAAGCTGTTCGTATCCAAATCGCCTAGAGTCGAGGGGCTGGTTCTTCCAAGA